CCTGGCCTCAATACAAACTCTCTGATGGAGAAACCTGGCCACCAGAGGGAAATATCAATTTTAATACAATTTTACAGCTTGAGAAATTTTGCAAAAAGGAAGGGAAATGGTGTGAGGTGCCATATGTTCAGGTTTTCTTTGCTCTAAGGGAAAATCCTAAATTATGCCAACAGTGTAAAGTAGACTTAGCTATGATATCTGCCATGAAGAGAGAAAATCTTGGGGACTCACTGAGGAAAAAAGAATCAGGAGGACCCACAAAATCTCCATCTGCTGGCCTCTCTGCATCTGCCCCAACAGGCAAACCAAATATATTACCTCTCCAGGAGATGCCAGGAGGAGAATTTGGGCCAATCAAAGTACATACCCCCTTCTCCCTTCAAGACCTAGTTTATGATTTCAGATAATTCATGCCAGAGAACTTAAATACTTAGGGTGGAAAATTAAAGAACGCTACTTCCAAATCAGCAAGTAACTCCCAATCATTTAGTTTTATTTTTTCATCAACTTTTGAACTGGGTAGCCTGAGAAGATTTCACTAGGTGTACCAGTGCATTAATTTGGGCAAGGATAGTAAATTATGATAAATGTTAATGAACAGCCCCAGCAGATTTAAAGATAGCCCATCCCAAAGAAATGTTAATGAAGTCCTTCCTGCCCAGATTACTTCTTTGGCCCACCTGTGTCCCACCCCTCGGCCTTCCAACCTACATTCCATCACTGAAAGAACTATAAAAAGGGGAAAAAACTGCACTTCCATGGATTCCACCTCTTGGGTCCCCTTCTTCCTCCAGGAGAAGTCTTTTCTGCTGTCCTTTAATAAACTTCTAATTTCTACTCTGAAAAAAAAAAAGAGTTTCTCATCTACATAGGGCACAAAGCAACTCTTAGCAATACAGAAATGGATATAATTCCTTGCATCTGATTATATCTCAATGTGACAGAACCCTTTACAAAAACTATAAAAACACACGGATATTGAACAATACTCTTTTGAATGATGAATGGGTGACAAAAGAAATCAAAGGAGAAATTAAAAACTCTTAGACTTAAACAAGAATAGTGATACAACATACTAGAACCTCTGGGACTCTCTGAAATTAGCTTTAAGAGGAAAGTTTATAGCTATGAATGCCTATATAAGAAAATCAGAGGGCTGGGGGTGTAGCTCAGTGGTAGAGTGCTTGCCTAGCACATGTGAGTCACTGAATTCGATCCTCAACACTGCATAAAAATAAATAAATAAAGGTATTGTGTCCATCTACAATTAAAAAGAAAAGAAAAGAAAACCAGAAAGATCCAAAATAAACCTAAGGATGTCTTTCAAAGCCCTTAAAAAAGAACAAATCAGTTTCAAAACCAGTGGAACACAGGAACTAATTAAAATCAGAGCCAAAATTAATGAAACTGAGAATAAAAAAAAATACAAAGGATCTGGGGCTGGGGTAGTAGCTCAGTGGTAGAACGCTTGCCTAGCACATGTGAGGTGATGGGTTCAATCCTCAGCATCACATATAATTAAATAAATAAATAAAATAAATATAGGTATTGTGTCCAACTATAACATACATACACACAAAGGATCAATGAAACAGAGTTGGTTCTTTGAAAAGATAAACAAGATTGATAAGCCTTTGGCCAAACTCACTAAAAGAAAAAGAGAGGAGACTCAAATTATTAAAATTAGAGATGAAAAAGGAGAAATCACCACAGATATCATAGCAAACCAGTGGATCCTTACAGGCTATTTTGAAAACTTAAACACCAATAAATTATAAAATCTAGAAGAAATGGACATATTTCTAGAAAAATATGGTCTGCCAAAACTGAAACAGAAGGACATAGAAAACCCAAACGACCAAAAATCTAGCAATCAGATAGAAGCAATAATAAAACATCTTCCAATAAAGCAAACCCCAGGATCTGATGGATTCTCAGCCAAATTCTACTGGACCATTAAAAAAGAACTAATGCTAATGCTTCTCAAATTTTTCCATGAAATAGAAAGGAATGGAGCACTTCCAAATTCATTCTATGAAACCAGTAACACACTCCTACCAAAACCAGATAAGAATACATTGAGGTAAGAAAACTACAGACCAATATTCCTGATGAACTTACATGTAAAAATATTAATAAAATATTAGCAAATTGGGTTCAACAACATAATAAGAATATTGTAACCCATGACCAAGTTGGTTTTATTCCAGAGATGCAAGGATGGTTTAATATATGCAAATCAATAAATGTAATTCATAACATAAATAGAATTAAGACAAAAATCACTTAGTCATCTAGATAGATTTAGAGAAAACCTTTGACAAAATTCAACACCCATTCATCATAAAAATACTGAAGAGACTAGGGATAGAAGAAACCTACCTAAAAATCATAAAGCTATGTATGAAAAACCCTAAGCTAACCTCTAGTTAAATGGGGAAAAACTGAAAGCATTTCCTTTAAAAATCTGGGACAAAACAAGGATGTTCACTCACCACTCCTATTTAATATAGTGCTATAAAGTCTAGCCAGAGCAATGAGGTAAGAGAAGGAAATAAAAGGGATAAAAATAGGAAAGGAAGAAGTCAAATTATCACTGTTTGCAGATGATATGATCCCTTACTTAGATGATCCAAAATACTCCACCAGAAGACTGCTAGAGCTAATAAACAAATTCAGCAAAGTAGCAGGTTACAAAATCAACATACAAAAATCAACAGCTTTCCTATATACCAACAGTGAATCTGTTCAGAAAGAAATCAGGAAAACAATCCCATTCACAGTAACCTCAAAAAAGAATAAACTATCTAGGAATAAATCTTACTAAGGAGGTGAAAGACTTCTATAGTGAAAACTATAGATAACTTTGAAGAAAGAAACTGAAGAAGACACAGGAAGATGGAAAGACCTTCCATGTTCATGGATAGGCATAATCAGTATTGTTAAAATGTCCATAGTCCCCCAAACAATATACAGACTCAATGGAATTCCCATCAAAATATCAATGACATTCTTCACAGAACTAGACAAAATAGTCCTAAAATTCATATGGAAGCAAAAAAGATCTCAATATAAAAAGCAACATTAAGTTAAAAAGGACAGAGCTGGAGCATCACAATACCTGAGCTCAGGACATGCTGCAGAGCCACAGTAACCAAGCAGCATGGGACTGGTGTCTAGAAATGAACTCACACAACTACTACCCACGGACTCCTGCCAAAAGTGCCAGAGAAACATGTGGAGGAGGGGCAGCCTCTTTAAAATGGTGTGGGAAAACTGGTTATCCACAGGCAGAAGATTGTGACTTGACCCCGATCTCTCACCTGTACAAAGATCAACTTGAGATGGATTCAAGATCTTAATGTAAGACCCTTAACTCTGAAACTACTAGAAGAAAATGCAGATACTTTAAGATGTTGTTACAGGTAAGAATTTATTTGGACAAGACCCCCCAAAAACAGAATGACAAATGGGACTATATCACACTCTGAAGCTTCTACACAGCAAAGGAAGCAGCAGAGTGGAGAGAGCATCTATGGAACAGGAGGACATAGCTGCCAACTATTGATCCGGCAAAGGATCAACATCCAGATATATGAGGAATCAATAAGGAAATCTCTAGATAATCCAATTAAAATACGGGCAGGTGATCTGAATAGAAGCTTCTTGAAAAAAATGCAAATGACCAACAAGTGTATGAAAACTGCTCAATCCAAATGAGAACTAAAACTAAGTATCCTCTCCCTCCAGTTAGACTTGCCATTATTCAAAAACCAAAAAAATAGTAAATGCAGGTGAGGGTGAGGAGAAGAACTAACTCTTCTGTAGGGATCACAGAAATGTAAATTGGTCCAGCCCTTGCTGAGAAGAGTTTGGAGATCCCTCAAAGCCAAACCTAGGCCTGCTATGTGATCTAGCCATCCCACTTCTGGGAAGATACCCAAAGGAAATGAACCAACACACTCAGAGACACCTGCACGCCATGCTTACGGCAGCACTGTTCACAACAGCCAAGGTATGGAACCAGTTTAGGTGCCCATCAAGAGATGAGTGGACAGAGAAATTGTGGTGTTTATACACCTTGGAATATTCTTCAGCCATTGAGAATGAAATCCTGTCACTTGCAGCAAAATGGGAGGAACTGGAGGACATTCTGCTGAGTGAAACAGGTCAGGCACAGAAAGACAAGTACCACATGTTCCCTGTCATGTGGAAGCAAAACAGTTGGCCTTATGTGGAACAGTAATTGTTAGAGGGCGGGGAGGGTGGATACTATGCAGCTGTGTTTATTGGGGCACACTGTGTGCATGCAAGGAAATATCACGCTGAATCCCACCAATGATGCAATCAATACATGTTAGCCAGAAATAAAGAAAAAGGAAATCTGTGTTTTCCATGGTGAATTTAAAAGTAGGATATCAGGATAGAAAAGCAGGCTTCTCAGTGTCCTCTAAGACTCTTCTCAAAGTGACCCCAGAATTTGTTTGAAGAAGACAATGCAAAGATTCTTTTATTACAAAATAATAGAAAAATAACAGAACATTGCCACATCCTATTTCAATATTCATTAAACCATCAGACTTTTTGTTGATATTTTTAATTCCAAATATTAGATATTTATTATTATAGAAATTAGAATGTCATTAGCATAGCAAACTCATGATTTTCATAAATAATATTTCCTAGGCCAAACTAAACATCCTATACCCTTTTAAAAATATTACAATCAGATATAGCAAGAGCCGTAAAGAAGGTACAAAATGACCAAGGCCATCTTGAGGGACATTACTTTCATGTTTATTTGGTTTGATGATGTATACTATAGCATGCCTTGGTTAACAGGTTTTTGTAGCATAGAACTTAGAGGTGAATGATGATAGCTTATTGCTTATAAGACTTCTGCTTATTTCTTTAAAACATGTTAGATTAGACTTGGAACATGACTCAAGGTTTTTATAAAATAATCCATTATTCTTCCTCGGAATGTAATAGGCTACCAGTTTAAGGTGCACATTTTATTTGGTTTTTATGCATTAAAGGTTTATTTATAAGCTTTTTATCCACTGTGAATAATTTGCATCACTGGATCATTGCCCGGGAAGACAGTTTCCTGCGCTTCTATTCCCCAGCACAATCACGTGCTGCAGAGTGATGCATGGTGGCGGAGGGCCCGCCCACACTTGCACTCCAGCACCTTCCCACGGGTGTGGGTTTTCCTGTGCTGGTTCAGGTGTGCGCTCTGGCTGAAGGCTTTCCCACACTCAGGACATTTGTAAGGCCGCTCTCCAGTATGGGTCCTCTCGTGCTGGTTGAGATGTGTCCTCTGGCTGAAGGTTTTCCCGCAGAAGCTGCACTGATAGGGTTTCTCTCCCGTGTGAAGTCTATGGTGCTCGGTGAGAGACGTGATGCGGCTGAAGGCCTTGCCGCACTGATTGCACTTATAGGGTTTCTCTCCAGTATGGATCCTCAGATGCTGGGTGAAGGAGGAATGCTGGCGGAAGGCTTTCCCACACTCATGGCACGTAAAAGGCTTTTCCCCTGTGTGAATTCTCTGATGTTGAATGAGGTGTATTCTCTGGCTGAATCTCTTCCCACAGTCATCACACTTGTAGGGCTTCTCTCCCGTCAACATTGGCTGAGGCTGGCCGAGAGGCAAGCTGTGGCTAAAGGCCTTTCCATGTTCCCTGGGGTTCTCCATGGCACATGCATTACTAGGAAGAAGAATATGTTGACCGAAGGTTCTTCCACACTCGTTAAATTCACAGGGGTTCTCTCTCACAGGGTTTCCCTGATAGCAGATCAAGTCTGAGCCATGTCTGAGGCTATTTCCTTGTGCACCATAATAAAGGGGTATTTGAAGAGAAGGATTTCTCTGACCATAATTGTCCTCTGATCTCCTACATTCGCTGTTTCTCTCCTGTGTGAGCTTTTGGTGGATGAGAGATACTGGTCCCAAATATCTCTGCTGGTTTTCTTGGTTCAACTCTAAGTGATAATCAAAATCCCAGAGTCCTCCTAAGATGGAGTACCAGAAACTGTCTCTTGTTAGTCTTTGCATGATCATGTCCTGGGTTTGGTTTTCATCAGAAATACTCTGGTTTAGAGCTGACTTTTTTACTTCAGGTATGTTCTCTGCATCTAAAAGAAATTCAGAACATATAAATTCTTCCCAATATTCTTTACGCTTTGAAAAAGAACTTGTTGTGTGACGAACTGCCAAATGAAACAAGGCCATATCACACGGGAAAAGTGATGGAGGGAGGGCAGGGAGCAGCAAGAAGGGATTTGAAACCTGGTGTAGCCATGACAGCAAGTCTTCCAAGAGCACCCAGGGTGAAAGGAGTCTCTTGCTAGAGACACTGGGGAAGCTCTGCTCAGAGGGGAGAGGACAGTGGCTTCTCGGAGAAGGCAGGCCCAGGCCAGGCCCTGGGTTTTCCTACTGCAAGGCCAGAAGCCTGCTGGGGAAGTATCTTCCAATTTTTCATCTTTTGTTTAAGCTAGTAAAAGTAATGGTTGTCTATAGTGTACCAAGCGTACAAAAGTATACTTGCCTCTGTTTGAATAATATGGAAATGCATTAGGAAAGAGTCCCACCTGTAAAATAATCATAGCTGACACTTTGGAGCCTGTCTTGCCTGATTTTTTTCTTGTTGTTCACATAAATATCCATGAAAACCATAGTTTGATCAAGTACGACTCGTGGATTATGATAAAAACAAGATTCCATTCTGTTTTCCCACCACTGCTTTGAACTCTATCCTCCCATCTCTCCAGAGGCCTGGGGCTCTCCTGATTTTTAGGTCATAGCTGCTCCTACTGCTACACCAGGTCAGTGTCATTCAGTCATTCCATGTCCTGTGGGGTGAAGTCTCTTCCTGTCCCTCTTGCTGGCCTCCTACTGATCCCCGCTCTGCTCCCTTCTCCTGCCTCCCCATGCCTCTGCTGAAGTCTCCCAGTAACTGCTTCCCTCCTCCCTTATCGACTAACAGGCTAATTCTTGTCACAGGAGGCAGGAGAGGTGTTTTGAGGACGAGTCTAGGGGGTGAGGTTTTGAAGGGCTGCATAGCTCCAATTTTAAACTTGGCAGATGGTTAAAGCCGACTAAGTTTGGGGAACTTTCACCACTCTTGGGCAGTTCTTAGAGGACTCTCTCCTTCTCTCCTGTCATTTCCATTACCTAGACAGATATAGTTCTATTTTGGGCAAGAATCCTACTTGACCACAGCCAAGGCTACACTGGCTGACCCATAAGAAACACCCTGTCCAAGAAAGTATGGTAGCATAAACTCACCCCCACTTCTGGCTGACCACCCATTATAGTCAGCAGCCCAGGGCCCTGGATGTTCTGGGTAAGCATGCTTTGGCTTTCTCAAACATGTACTTTAGTATTGGTCTTATGACCACAGGGAACACACATCACAGCTGCCTGAATGCACCCTCCACATGGGTGGCTGTATCATTATTGTCCCAACTGGGACTCTTGTCACTGAAAGCAATACCACCAACAATGAGAATACTGGAGGGGGGAGGTTGCTTCTATAACCATAACTTGACTCTCCCCCTCACTCTCCTCCCTCTATCCCTTCCTTCAAAAGAGTGCTAGGGCCTCTGAGCAGGGTTCTCTCCTAAGAAGCTTCTCAGAGCAGGGTTCTCTCCTAAGAAGCTTCTCTTCCAATCTCCTCAGGGATCTCTCAGATCTCTTCCTACCCTTGATCTAGTGGGCTGTTTTCTATCTGCAGGACGCAGGGGAGTTCCCACACGTACCCTGGGTGTGCAGATATCTTCTATAAGCTCTCAAGGAGGACAGTTTTTCTAATGCACACTCGTGTGTTAATGTATATGAATGTAATTATACATAATTTTTACTAATTTTGAAACCCAAACAGAATGATAATATTACATATTGCCTATGTAACTTTGTTTTTTACTGAATAATATTCTGAATATAGATCAACCTCATTCTTTTTAAAGGTTATACCCTATTTTTAAAAAGCTATTCTCCCTAAGTTTTAGGTTTTCATTTTGTTGTTGTTGTTGTTGTTGCTGGGATTGAACCCAGGGCCTCACAGATGCTAGGAATGCTCTGGGCTATATCCCAGCTTTTTAAAAATTTTTATTTTGAGATAGGGTCTTGCTAAGTAGCCCAGGCTGGCCTTAATCTTGTGACCCTCCTCCCTCAGCCTCCTGGTAGCTGGGACTACAGGTATGTACCACTGTGGTTATTTTCCCCAAGCCAGCTCAGCTTGAGATGGGCAGAGGAGAATGCTGCTCGCTTCTCCTTCCTAGTCTCAGGCCAAGGTTCACGCAGAAGATTCTGCAACAACCATCCAGCTCATGGGCTTTGTGTTAGCAGACAGTGCATCTGAGTACTCCAGCCCTGATTGCCCCTCAGTCTCAAGCAACCATCTGGCCACATCCTTCCTCTGCTCCAGCTGACAATTCTCTGCATGACTTACCTTCTGTATCCCTCAGCTTTTCAGGCCCTGCTCCCTCCAGTCTTACTCCACCGCAAAACTCTTTCCTGACCAAGTCTCCTCCTAATCGGCCAGGAGGAGCATCCTCCGCCATTCTGTGGATCTCCCTGCACTGCATGTGTCCCTTCCCATCCCCTCCTGGCTGGCATTCACATTCCCAGCGGAGCAGGTGTATTGGGAGTGATTAGTGGGAACTAAGAAGAAGAAAGAGGAGTAGAGAGAGGAAAGGAAAGGGTCTGAGAAGACAGGAGGGCTGGGGGAAGGAGAAAAATAGAGGAGAGAGCCCAGGCTTCTGATTCCTGGGCTAGACTACATATTTGTCTTTATGGAACCACCCAGAAAGTTAAGGAAGGGAAAAGAGGACAGGGGAGGGGAGGCCAGGGGAGGAAAGGGAGGCCAAGAGCAGAGACAGGAAGAGAAAACATACAGATCACTAGCAACCCTTTTGGGAGGTATGGGGCATGGAGCCCAGGCCTGTGCATGCTGGGAAAGAGCACCCACATGGATCTGGAGCTTTCTCCCTGGATTGTATGCTAGCCTTCTGGAGAGAAGCCTTATTTTGAGACAGGATCCAGCTAAATTGCTTGGCTGACTGAGTTAGTGATCCTGCCTCAGCCTCCCCCGTAAGGACTCTCCTGTTCAGTGCCTCCTTTTCCTATCGGTGGTCTTGGCCTCATCTACCTCTCCCTGCTTCCGACCTCATCTAGACCTCCGTTTCTTTGACTCTTCTGTGTGTCTAGTTTTCAGTCCTCTTTAGACCTCCTTCACTTCCTGGACTTTGACAAATCACTGATTCTTGATCAGTTTTCCTACTTTAGTCTCACTGAATCCTTAGGCCCTCCATCTCCGCACTGCAAACCCTGCCTGGTGTTAACAATGAGAAATAGCACATCTGTCATACCAAAAGCCACAGACAGACGAATGGGGCAGAATCTCACCGGGCCTTCAGAGCTTCGGAGATTCCTCTTTCCATCTTTGGCCAGCTTCAACTAGCCTTAGTAAGCTCTCCCGAGTTCCCATTTTGTACCTGCTTTTCTAGTTCCTTGATGCTCAGCAGAAGACCTTGCTATCTGATTTGCCAGGAAAACAGAAGTCTCCATACTGGAGCTCCCCAAGCCTCCCACCAGCAAACTTACTACACACATACACATACACATGCACACACACACACACTGCCCACACCTTCCCATCAGTACACTCTCTTCTGGAACCCTGCCCCAGCTCACATCTATGCTTACCTACCCTTCTGCAGACTCCTCCCATCAGTGATATGGATAAGCTGAAACCATTCCTGCTTCTCCTTATTCTGGGGAAATCTGCATTTTCTCCTGTCCTGCCCTTGCTTCTCATTACCTACTGTACGAACACCAGCACAGCTGTCTTTTCTAACCATGGACAGACTCCTCCCAATCACCTGTCACTTTTCTCACTAATTCAATCACAACATCCTCGTTGCTGAATGCCTGGCTGTTTTCCAGGTCTCCTCTTGGCTAAGAAGAGATTTTGGATAAACTGGTGCTGGCCAATGTCCATAACAAGGAGGCATGGCATGCAGCATCCAGGGGACAGGCCAGCATTTGGTCACACAGCTAGGTCATCTTCTCAGTCCCGAGCAACAGAAGGGCTTCACCACACCTTCATGAGGACAGATGGCTGTGTCCCACAGGACAGGGAAGAACTAGCAAGTGGTTTCCCTGGAAGAGACTGCAAGGCTGCATGCCCCTGGAGGGACATGAAAAGGAACCAGCTGTTTGAGAGGACCTGAGAGCCCTGGGCATCCATGTGTAGTTGCATAATGAAGTTGGGAAGTTGTTCTATGGTTAGCAATTGATTTTTCTAGTTGGAGGCCTGTGGGTAGGGACACAAGAGGGGACAGCATGGGTCCTACAGGTGTAGCATATGCAATTTGGGGAAGGATCAGCTCTGCTCTCTTCAGTAGGTCCTGCCTTGGCAATTTACCTGCAAAGGGAGTTTTTATAATCTCTTCCTTCAGTGTCCTGCTCCCCAGGTTCAGAGGTGTGAAGGGCTGTAAAAATATGCCACTGCGATTGTCAGGTTCTTCACCGCACATCCTAATCAGCAGACTCTGCTCACTGAGGGGCCGAAGTGGGGGTGAGCTTATTACTAACATAACCTAGAGACATGCCAAAGCCAACTCAAGAAAGTAGAAGTGTGAATGGCAGAAAACCATGTGCACACAGTGAAACCAGGTGTCAGGGCACAGAATCAGTGAACTAGACAGGAAGTGGTGGGTGAGCCAGCTCCAGCAACCAGAAAGAACATGCCCACCTCAGCAGGCATTTGCTGAAGCAAGCAGGCAGAACACTGCTGGTGTGTTCCCGAAATAGGAGCTCTTAATATTCCCTAAGAAAGCCCATAAGAAGCTCAAAGAGGAGAGGAGAAAGTGAACAGACCTGGGTTTTGAAATCTTCAATTAAGTGATAGCATGACATTAATAAGCAAAAATGCAATCTAAAATCTGGAAGGAGCATGTGTGTGAAACGTGGGCTGGAAATGCAGGAGTGGGAAAATAACATGGCAGGGTGACTGAAAAGCAGAACACCTGGTGCCTTCACCAGCAGGAGGAGGAGGAGAAGGCGGGAGAGGAAGGAGGGACAGAGGCACAACAGCGACTAGAGGAGCCAGGCAGTGTCAAGAAGGCAGGCCAACACAATCAGACCAGCAGGACATGGGTGGCTTTTCAGCCACTGGATTTGATTGGAAAGAAGTCAGTAATAGTCTCCAGGAAAACCATTTCAGCAGCACAGGTAGAATAGGGTTGTATCACAAAGGCGTGCAGGCTGAAGGCTTAACTAAATTTAAAGAGTTGATAATGAAAGGAAAAAGGAAAAAGAAAAAGTAGGCAAAAATACAGCATTTTTGATATGGAGAAGAAGGATTTAAAGAATACTGAGAGGACATCTGAATAAGAAATGCAGTGAAAATGCTTTGTGGAGATCTGTAGCATTAAGGTACTTATGGGAGTTCAAATTAAGACTTGCAAAATAACTTTTGTATTCCATATTTTTAAATAGTAAGTATATATTTTGTTGAATTAAAAAAAAACCAGCCATTTCCACTTTGGAAATAAAATATGAACTGAATTTTTTTCAAAGGCCTCAGTATTCTTTAAATCCTGGGGGAGAGCGGAGTATACCCAATGAACACTCATTTCAGAAGTGATGATTTCCCCTTAGGGTATAAGATGCCCACTGCTCACTTCTCACCTGGAGGGGTTTCCAGGGGGCCATCTCTTTCTGTTAACCGCAGCTCCTCTTTCTCCAACTGAGTGATCACCTCTGGCTTATAAAGCTGATGCCCTATACATGGAAAAAAGGATGTCTTAGGAGTTCATGCTGGGAGCAAAAACAGGTCCATCTCTAGGGGCTCTGGGCTTGGAGAAGGGAGACTTCAGGGGCATCAAGATGAACTCCTCCTCTCACACTCACAGAGAGGGACAGAAAATGAAAGCCTTTACAGAGGCTCTGCTGACTGTCGCCACTGAGAAAGGAAACTCAGTTTCCAGCGTTAGGGGGATGCCACCTTTACCCAGAGCCACCAGGTTCCTGTAGTTCTCCAGCATCACGTCCCGATAGAGGTTCTTCTGAGCAGGGTACAGCCGCTCCCACTCCTCTCTAGTGAAGTTCACGGCCACGTCCTGGAATGTCAGCGATTCCTGAAACACCAAGCACACCCCCACTCAGGCAGAAGCGCCCTTCAGAGGCCTTCAGAGGAAGGATGAAAACAGCACAGGGAAGAGAAGCATGCCTGAGCATTCTTCTGAGGGTCTTTGGACTGAGCAATGCAGGATGAACCTTTCCAGACCACAAATGCCTGTCTTTCTGTCACCTTTTAAGACCTGAAAATGTGCATGAGTTGGGTGCTGGTGTTGCAGGTCTGTGATTGCAGCTACCTGGGAGGCTGAGGCAGGAAGGTTTTGAGTTGGAGGACAGCCCAGACCACACAGTAAGACCTCATCTCAAAAAAACAAAACAAAACACAAAAATGCATGACATATTCTTTGCTTTTAAGCATTTGCAATTTGTTGCAGGGTAAAGATTCTCATCTCATCCACACAGTCAAAAGACTATACGAGAAACTGATTTCAGAAATGAAAGAATTGAAGATATTTTGAAACTGAAATTAGGTATCATATAGATGGAAATCCTTAATAGATTGTGTAAATCCTTAATAGATTGTTATGAACTGGACAGGAGAGAGGATACTTGGTATGTTTAAAAAAAAAAGCAACAAAGGCAGACAAAGTGGGGGTAGAAGTCATGGATCCAAGTTGGGGTTGGTAAAAGAAATTGACTCCTTTCAGGCAGGGATTTAAAATACAAAGGGCAACCTCCAAATTCCTCCAGCACCAATGTTTTGTAAGCCATCTTTTGCCAGACACTGGTAACCCCCTCCTAATACAGAGATCTATCCCTCCTTCCACCTGCAATGCTCCCCACTTTAGGGTACAAACAAATGCATCTCCCACAAGTTAGCTATATGACTGTGATTTTATTTAATTTTCATGTCTTGATGATTCATCTTTCTAAAGTATATTTCAATTCAATGACTTACTGAGGCTAGAAGTAATCAAACAATTCATCCAAGGACATAAATTGGCAGATTCCTCCTTAGCGCCTGTTCCAGAGCTTGTGCTCCCGTCACACCACACAGATGCCTTCTTTCCTTCTGGGTGCTTCCCTCGCCAGCCTTTCTCTGAGGCAGCACCAGAAGCTGTGTCCACAAGGGACCCAGGCCTACACTATGTATTTTTATTTTTTGGTCTTAGAGTTTGGGCTCAGGGCCTCTGGTGTGCTGAGCTCCACTGTGGCTGTTGGGGTCAGTACCCTGCTTCTAGCTTTTCCTCCCTTTCACACCTTCTACTGGCAACCCTACATCTGGTGAGCCAGTTCTTCTTTCTTCCAAATCCTTAATGAATTTTATCTTTGGGTAGGTAATATATTATTACGGCATAGTAACAAAAATATAAAAAATACATAATAAAGCAGGGTCTTTTTTTCAGATTTCTCTCTCTTTGGCCAGCTTCTACTTCCCAATAGATCAGAATTGTTCTTAGTTTCCAATGTATCTTTCCAGAATTTTTCTTTAAGCAAATGTGAATATAGATTATTTCCTGTTTTTTTTTTTTAATTCTAAAGTAACATATTTTAAACACTATTTTTAATTTAATAACGGACTCGGAGATCTTTCCCTCTCAGACCTAACAGGACACAGCTTCCTCATTATTTTTTTAAAGTGTTGTTTCATTTTTGATCAACATATAAAAGCTGACTGCACAGGGAACAGTGGTTACTAGAGGCGGAGAGGGGAGGGGCAGATGGGAGGACTGGGTCATGAGTGCTGTCACAGTAAACGGGAGGAAGGAATTCTGGTGTTCCACTGGACCATGGGATGGATACAGTTAACACTGTACATTTCAAAACAGAGGTAAAGACTTTATGGTGCTGGGCACTGACTCCGGACGTGCATGCTAGGCAAGTGCTCTACCACTGCAGCCCAGAAGAGAATGTTCCAGCCACAGAGAAAGGAATGATCAATGAGAACTATAACAGCATTTGAGAGGAGAGGAAATGGGACTTACCTGGGACCTGACTGTCTGTGATCCATAGTTCACTTCCTCCTCCCCACACCCCTCTTGGGAAAGCACAGCCTTCAGAGAGGGCATCACTGGGAAAAGAGTAGAACCACCCTGTTAATATATAATACTGGGGCTAAATTTAAACCTTGGGGCCTTTGTGTTGGGATGGCAGACAGCTCATAGAGAGGACCTCAACAACAGCTGGACCCTGGTATCCCTGCTCCTCCATGACCCTGGGGAACTCGACACAGGACTTCCTTCCTCTGGCATACAGCCACTGGGAAGGAGGGAAAGGATGGAGGCTGGCATTCTTGTGTGGCAGGTGGGGAGCTCAGTGGTTCTTGACCCCAACCACACACTTGGAGACATTTAACAGGATGCCAGTGCCCAGCTCCTGCTCTCACAGATCCAGAAACCCACTGGTATGCAGGAGGCCTGGGCAGCAGTTTTTTAAAAATCTTATTTGTTTATTGATGCATTATAATTATACAAATTAGTGGGGTTTATTATGTCATATTTGTGCATGTGTATATCATAACTTGATCAGTCTCATTCCCTAGTACCTTCCCTTTTCCTCTCCTCTGTACCCTTTTCCCCACATCCTTGCCAGCAATTACTGTTATTTGCATCCTTGACGATAGGCAACAGCACTCAAAATTCTGACAGTGCCAAGTGATTCTAACTGTGGATGTAAAATAGATGAGGTGATGGCAGAAAACACACATTGAGGACTTGTCTTATCTTGATCTCCCCAAGTGTTAAATTCAGCCCAAACTACAGAGACCTGCTCCTCTGCTCTCAGGAGGCCTCTGAGTACACAAGGGAGGTTGTACTCTCCTTCCTTCAGGTATCTGTGTTCCATTCTCACCAGAGCTACTACTGCACCTATTTGCAGCTCCTGGGTGATGACTCTTCTGGAATAGCCTCTCCAGTCAGGAGATGCACCAGTGCCAGCAGTTTCAGTATCCTAGCCTGTCTTTAAAAGTGATTTTAGGGACATTACGTATGAGTAACGCCACTCTGAGGTGGCTGAGAATCAGGAGCCAATGATTTTTGATTCTTAGCAACATCCACCCTTGGGATCTTGCCTTGTTCATGCAGAGCTAGATGCAGAGGCTCCTGAAGATAGTTATTACTCAACCATATGTGGGGACTTTGCTATGAGACTCATATCTGTCCCTTGGTAGGATCTTGTAAGATACAGTTGCAGGTCAAGCACCTACAACACCCATCAAAGTCACAGAAGAAACTCAGAAGTCTTAGCTAAAGACGTAAGGAGTCTGAAAAGAGAAGTGCAAACTCTTCATTCATAAAGACAGAGCACAGCTAGGTGTGGCAATCTTTAAGAATCAAAAGCACACTCAGAATTTCCAATTTGCACATTACAAAAAGCAGGGAGGTACAGATGATCCGACTCTTAAGATATTCAGCCTCAGTCCTACCTTTGCCTCTTCCTTGTCCTGCTCTTTCACAAAGAACAGTTTCTTCCCCTTAAGGGGGAAAAACAGGCATTACAGCCACAGAGTGAAATGCACTCATTTGCTAATAATCATGAAGAAAACATTTTTTTTTTAAAAGAGAGAAAAATGCAATTCTAGTAGAATGGCTCTATTAAATAAGGTAGCCATTCACTGCCTGGGATAGGGGGGTGTTAAGATTAACATTTCACAAAACACTTTAGGGGCTAGATTCAAATTTCACAGCTCTGAAAAAATCCCACTGTCAGAAAAGCCAGAGAGAACTTAATAAAAATACCCTTAAGTTTCAGACCCAGTCACCTCAAAGCCATGCATCTCATACCAAAAAACCCCAATAACTGTTAGGCAGAACAGGATTTCTCCTTTATACATAAGAAAAGGACTCCCGAGATTACTGAGGTGACGTTTCTAAAGTGTGTTAAATAGTATCTCACTGCCTGTTACTCACAAAAAGAGAGCATATCAAATTTGGAAAATGCTGGCTTCAACAAAGTTAAATATTTTTTTTTTTTGCTACAAATCTTGATAGGAAGATTTAATGTCCATTGTGAACCCCAGATAAAACCTCATATGTTTAGTTTGAAAATATTTTTATGCCATCTACTCATTTTTCAAGTCTCAGATTAAATCAGGAAAGATTCTGATATCACAGACCAGGTGAGATCCCTCAATTACCAGTTTTTCAAGTGGCAGTTTTTATCGCTGTAATTATCCATTCAGCAAGCCATCTTCAAACATCTTCATGAAGTCAGGAATACAGTCTGATTTTTTACCTTTCTATTTTCAATGCCCAGGGCCCAGCAGTTAGTAGGGACTAAATAAATATTTAATAAATCAGTAAACAAAAGGTTTCTAGTGTTTACTTTTCTATTAAAATATTTAAATTTACACTAATTTTAGAATTATAGAAAAGTTGCAAAAGAAGTACATGCTTAATTCCTGTATGCCATTCACCCTGCTTACCGAATGTTAATATTTCATATAACCATGGTACAATTATCAAAACCAGGACATGCACATCGGTGCGATTAACCCAAATTAGTCACATCTTGTAATTTTTCAGTAACACTCTTTCTCTGATATAGGATCCTAAATTGCATTTAGCTATTTTTCCTTAGTCCCTTCCAATCTGTAAGTTTTCCAGGCTTCCTATCTTCCATGGGCCTGGCACGCTTTTTTTGTTTTCTAAGATTTAAAAGCACACATAACATATTTAGTGTATAGAGCAAAGGTGGAAAGGTACAAATCATCTAGCGGAACTCTGGGCCTGAGCAGTCATCCCCGTTCGGGAACAGCCTTTGGAGTCATCCCTATCAATGCCATTCTGATGGTGGGAGAAGGTGAAGACCTGTCAGTACAGTAGTTACAGTGACAGGGAACTGTGCAGCAAGGCACTTAAGGCTATGGTAACAGAGTGGCAGTGCACGAGCAAGTAGTCTTTAGAGTGACATCATGTAGTCTAGTAAATGCTTTAGTTCCACTAGTACATTTACCGACGATTTAAGGAGTGTTTTTGGACATCCAGTTTCATTATGCTTTATATCAGACTATTTTCAAGCATGCAATATAATAGATTCCAGCAAAACAACGTTCGGCGGCATCAGTTTCCCCTTCCTTCTCAGGAACTGACATCAGCTGTCATCTCAGTCCAAGCAGACAAGCGGCGCGTGGCGTGCCCTGCAGACCGCGGGGCTGCGCGGGGAGCATCGCAGACCCGCTGTGTGATAAAGGCCAACCCACCGCGTCGAGAACTTGGGAGCGGTCGGCGAAGAGACGCTGGGGCTCGGGGACCAGCGAGCGGGCTCCTAGCCCCGGGCGCGGCGCACACAGCGGTGGGCGGCCCTGCCCTGGGACTGCCCAGGCCGCCTCTCCCGGGCGCACTCACCGGCTCCGCGGACTGAGGCCCTCGCGCTGCCCAGACGCCGCAGCCTGCACCGGGAGCGGAAGGGCGCCGCCGGCCGAGGCGGAGCAAGCGCTGGCGATCGGCCCACCGCGACCTGCGCAATGGCGACGCGGGCTCGGGGGGCGCATGCGCGGCGCCCCCTCTGTAGGGAGTGGCGGCTGGGACTGCAGCCCTGCAGCCTCTGGGCCTCCGATGTAACCCGCCGTGGGCGCTAGCCCAAGTGCAGGTGGAGGCCCCGCACGCTGCCAACCACGCGGAGGCCGCCCAGGTGCAGGTGGAGACACACCGCACCCGGCCAATCACACGGAGGCCGCCTGAGGTGCCGCTGGAGGGCCCGGCACCCTGTCAATCACTTGGGGGCCTTCCGAGGTGCAGACTAAGTCCCCACACCCCGCATCCTGCCAACCACACCGAGGCCGGTCAAAGGGCAGATAGAAGCAACACCCCCCCCCACCCCCACCCCCCGCGCACCCTGCCAATCACACCGAGGTTCCAATGTGCCAGAGTCGAGGCACAAATCGCTTTCTGCTCCCCATTTTACTTTGGTGAACCTCAAAATATAGTAATTGAACCGTTACAGGTCTGCTGTTGAGAAGAGTGGGGCTCTTTACAAGGGGATGACATTTTGCTTAACCCAGGCTCAAGTTAGTGTTCTTTATCACCAAAAAAGATTACCTATTTATGCTAGTTATAATGAAATTTTACATATTTCATTTTTTAAAAACTTCATCAGATAGCCAAGTGCTGTCAAACACGGGTATCATCCCAGAGCGTATAATTTAACTTGAGCATATGCATCACTCCTAGTGTGTTTATAGAATTCCATGGTTCTCTCTCTCTCTCTTTAAAATATTCATTTTTTAGTTGTACACAATACATTTATTTTATTTATTTTCATGTGGTGCTGAGGATCGAACCCAGGGCCTCACACGTGCTAGGCAAGCACTCTAGCGCTGAACCACAACTCCAGCCCCTCCATGATTCTCTTGATACTGCCTTTTAGCATTTCACTATGTGGCAGATTAATCACGTAGAGTGGAAGGATAGGTGAAAGCGCCTTGACGGCAATAGTTAAATGGATTTTGAAATATGGAAATTTCCTTTGCAGTGGCACGGAGGTCCGAAAATGCCACCACAACTATAGTCTGAGCTTGGAAAATACAGCCACTGCTAGTTCTGCCTGGAGATGAGGGTCTCACTTCCTGTTTTTGCTCATGACAGCACTGGGAATGCATAAAGCAGCCTGATACTGTGATTCAGCCAGTGATCCTTGAGGTAACTTTATTGTAGCATAAGCTGTATGTTACAAATTGTCGCTTTTGACCCTGCAGCTTAAAGACTCAGGCCTTTCGTTCCCACGTTGGACGCCAATTGCTGGTTTCATGTTTGTGACTAAAAGGCTCAGGGGTCACTCCAGGAAAACTGGGCTGACTGGGCTGTGCAAAATAACCACACAAGAGACACAAATACTTTTTCTTTGGGGTTGCTGTGAAGGCTCCTCTGACCTTAAGGGTGACTTGCTGACCCCTTTTATTGAGGAGAAGCTATTCAAATGAGGCAAGGGGTCAGGTTTCAGGAGGCTGAGTCTATCTTCATGATGTCCACTGTCAACAGGTTGATTGACATCTAGGTAGGCCACACCCAAGGGCACAGTAAGAGAAGGGGACACACACAAGGCACTTCCATGGAAGATTCTACCCTAAACAGGGCAAGGGGTTATATTACAAAGGAACAGATGCTAAAAGGCATACCCATGAGGCTGTAGGAAGTCACTCCCAGTCACGAAGACTCAACTCTAGCAGCGTGGGTGCCACATCGCCCAGCAGGGGAGTTAACTCTGTCAGTGCGAGATTGGTCTCCCACAACAATGCTGTTTTGTCTTGTAATTTTAAGTTGAATTCATTAAGAAACAGTATCAACCCCAGCACAGGGTGGGGAATGGTAGGTGGGGTGGTGGTGTAAGAAAGCAGAAAGAAAGAAACAGTATCATGTCTGGGACAAGTGATTTCCGAAGCCAATCAGATCAAGCCAATCAGACGTTTGTCATTTCTTTGTGGGGAAAACTTTGAAAATCCTTTCTCCTCGATTTCTGAAACACACAGCACATTATTATCTAGTCACTCAGGGTGCAAGAGTTCACCAGAACTTCCTGCTCCCAAGTGCAGCTCCATGGTATGATCAACTTTCCCACCCCTCCCCAGGCTCTGCTTTCCCTGGCCTCTGGGGACCACCATTCTTTTTCTGGTTCTGGGGATGAACTCTGGTCCCAGATACCAGGCCAGCAACTTACCACTGAGCCATCACATTTTTAAAAAAATTATTTATTTATTCTAATTTGTTATACATGATGGCAGAATGCAGCTCATTTCATATTACACAGATAGAGCACAGTTTTTGAGATCATATTTTTTTTAGATTCCATATATGAATGAAATTTTCAGATTTATTTCACTTAATGTAATGTCCTCCAGTTCCCTCCATGTTGTCATTATGAATGACAGAATTTCTTTCTTTCTTTCTTTCTTTTTTTTTTTTTTGTGTGTGTGGCTGAATAGCATTCCACTGCATATAGGTACCACATTTTCTTTATCCATTCATCAACTGATGGACACTTAGAGTGTACCCCTTTCTTGGCTATTGTGAAAATATTGCTTCAATGAACACCTGAGAGCAGCTGTCACTTGGATACACTGATTTTGTTTCCTTTGGCTGTGCACCCAGCAGTGAGATTGCTGAGTCATATGGCAGTTCTATTTTTATTTATTTATTTATTTATCTTGGGATTTTTTTTAAAACTGGAGCATATTAATTACACAGAATAGTAGGTTCAGTTGTGGCATATTCATACACGCATGTAGCATTATAGGATCAGATTCACTCCTTAGTGCCTCTCTGGCCCTCCCCTCCCCAATCTGGTCTTCTTCCTCTAACATAGTGATCTCTTTTCTACTTTCCTGATGTCCTTTTTCTTGGGTGCCTTTGCTCTCAAGATGTGCAGGAGCATGAGAAACTCATTGAGAACTGTCTTCCATGGGCTGTCAGTCTTAGCTGAGACTGTTGGCCTCTGCCTGTGGCTGAGCTTCTTCATGGAGTGGCTGTCAGGTTCCCTAAATAGAGAGCCAGGCAGATGTCACATGACCTTTTGGGATACAGCTGCAGACATCAGGCAGTATCATTTTTGCAGCCTCCACAGAAATGGAAATTCTTTGATATAGCCACATAAGTCTGAGTTTAAGGGAAGGAGTAGCTTTCATTGCTTTGATGATAAATTTGCAATGTTCTAGAAGAGCCCCTGGGACCAGAAAGGTGTCTGGCATATTTTTGGAGAACATAATTTGTCACAACCCCCAAACTACTGGATAACTGAAAACTCTTAAATGGTCCATCAGGTGCTCAGAAGGGAGAGAAGGCCTTGACATGGCTGCAAGACTCAGCAACCCCAGAAATCTGCCATTGGCAGTGATTTGATGGATCTGGATGACATTACATCAGGTCAGATTAGCCAGGTACAGGAAGACAAGTGCCCTGTTCTCTCTGATCCATGGTCGAGCTATAGAAGTCCAGTTGAAAAATAGAATTGTGAATACCAGGGACTGGGAAGGGTACAAGGGGGAGGGAGGGAAGGGGTTGATTGGGTTCGACCAGCAACTGCTTTGTGCTTGTTTTGGAATATTACACTGAACCACACGAACCTATACAATTAGCACATATTAATGAAAAAGGAAAGAAGGCCTTAATAGCTGCACCAAAAAGTGATTAGAACTGTCATGTTCTTCACTACTTAAAACACTCAGGGTCACCCCAGGGGAACTGGGCTGCACCAAATAACCACACAAGATACAAAGGTACCTTTTTCTTTGGGGTCCTGTGACAGCTCCTCTGACCTTAAGGGTCCACAGAAAGAGAACGAGCGTATGTTGAACACTATTATTGGGGAGAAGCCATTCAAATGAGGCAAGGGGTCAGGTTTAAGGGGTTGAGTCTAGCTTTGTGATGTCTGCTGTCAGCAGATTGGCTGACATCTAGGAAGGCCACACCCAAAGGCACAGCAAGAGAAGGGACACACAAAGTGTTTCCACGGAACATTCTATCCCAAACAGGGCAAAGGGGTAGTATCACAAAGGAACAGATGAGCGTAGCTCAATCCATGGGGCGACACGCCTATATCTGAAGACGTGTCCTCAAACTTCCATGACCAGGGCAATGTCCAGGTCACTACGAGATGTAGTTACGGTCAAAGTTTCTCCACTCTGGGAAGGAGAATATGAATCATTCGGACTGGCTCCCCACATAGAACAATAAATGAATTCAGCAAAGTTGCAATTCAGAATCAATATTCAAAAACCAGTATCATTTAAAACATTAACAGCGAACTCTGAAAAACCAATCAAGGAAACAATTGCATTTACACAACATGAAATGCTTAGAAACTTGTTCAATGAGGGAAATGATTCTGTAATGAAAACAATAAACCATTGAAGAAAGGCATTGTAGAGAGCAAATAAATGAAAAGTTCTCACATATTAATGCATTATAAGAATTAACATTGTTAAAATTAAGTCCACATTACCCATGGAGAGTTTCAACAGCAGAAGAAAGAATGCATAAACTTTAGGACAGACAATTTGAAATAACACAGTCAGAAAACAACATAAAGCCTTTTAAAAAGACCCAGCATGCACAAGCCCCTGGGATCAATCCCGCACTGAAAAAAAAAAAAAAAAAAGCCTTTAAAGCACCTGACCCAGTCAACATGATGTGTAACAATATCACAATAGCTCCTTGAGGACTTTCCTGATAAAATTGAAAAAGTCATAGATTGAACCATCTAAATTGAGGAACAATCTGTAATTGGGAAAACAAATTTTTAAGTAGTCTTCCCACACATAGTGGTGAATATTCTTTGATACTCCACCAAAACTTGACAAGATTAGTTGCAAAATGAAATCTAAAATTATATCCCTGTACATTAAAATCTGCTTGCTTAACTCAAACTGACTTGTGATGTCATGCATGAGTCATTGGGAAAACATTTGTTTACTGAATTATCTATTTCAGCTGTTCTTAGCTGGGGCTAATTTGTGCTCTAGAAAACGACTGGAGATGGATTTGCTTGTCCACTTGGTGGTTGCTCCTGACACCTTGTGGATAAAGTCCAGAGGTGCAGCTAAACCTCCTGCAAGCCTCAGGAGAGTCCCACAAAACAGCAGCACAGATCAAAGTGTCAGTAGTTGGGAAATCCATCTATTTAATCTTGACACATTTTATTACACATTATAAAAATTTGTATTTGTAAATATAATCACCATTTTTGGAATGTTTTTAAGTGTTGGTAAATTGTTGAGGTGATTATGGTGGATACAGAGTATCACAAAACTAATTTTAGATTTGACACTTAAATTTTATTATTCACAAAATATGTTCTTAATTATTTTTATTTAAAAATTATGTCCAATATTACAGGGAGAAAATTTCCTAGAAATTCCAAAATATTTCTATTTCCTTTTTTTTTTCTGGTCAGAACTGCATGTATGACTAATCCCACTGAAAGTAGCACTGGGGAGGAGGGCTGGATGTGGAGCTTCAGCCAGCTACCCTACAGAACGTGCCAGATTTATTCTTGTGTGTCACAGGAGTTTCTGATGAAAGGTCAGACATTCAGAGAGATATTTTCTTTGTAATGTTTTTATTAGTGCATCTTGTTAAACATAACAGTGGGGTTCATTGTGGCATATTGTGTATGTACCTTCTTTTTAAAAAATATGTATTTTTTAGTTGTCAATGGACCTTTATTTTATTTATTTATATGTGGTGCTGAGAATCAAACCCAGTGCCTCACACATGCTAGGCAAGCTCTCTACCACTGAGCTACAGTCCCAGCCCTGTATGTACCTTCTTTGTTCCATTTAAGTACCAACTACTTTCTCTTTCCTGCCCCTCTTCCAGCTTCATAATAACCCTCCTCTTCTCTACAGGTTCCCTTCTATTTTCTTGTTGTTTTAATGTTGCATTCTAACTCCACACACAGGATTCAAGATAGTGGGCTGGAGGAAGCTGGCATTTCCAGTTGCTTGGGATTCAGGTGCAGTGGGTGCTGCCCTGGATGCAGACACCTTTAAGTACTGATGCACTGGGTTCTGACCAATTATTGCCTTCAGTGTCAGTAATTTGGCTGTTACCCCAGCTCAGATAACAAGGTGTAGGTGTCACCCCACTGGGGCTGGGGTTGAGTTACACTCACCTATTCCTTTGTAATCCTACCCCTTTGCCCTTTTTGGGATAGAATATTCCATGCAACAACCTCCCCCAATAAAACCCAGGTTTGAGGCACGCTCTCCCTCTTTTTCTTGTCTGCCTTGCCTGCCTTGCCTCCTTTATGGGAGC